TCGATGCCTTACCTTTTTCGGGTCATCGATTCCACCGGAATGCTCTATGGCAGATTTGGTCTGTTTTTGTTCTTGATAACGGGAGCAGGGTCCCGTGACGCTTTTTTGCTTTGAGCAGACTCAAGCAAACCGTCAGATCATTCCTACTCGGTGAGATCCGAGGTATCCGGCAGCTTCAACTGACAAGTAGTGCGTGTGGGAATCTTCGCCTTCGGACAACCGTCAGACGGTTTGAGAATCAACGACACTGCTTGTTTCCGGTGCCGAAACAAATACAAGTTCTTGTTTAGCAGAGAGCTTACGGGGTTTCTTGGATCTCTTTCGCTTTGCTCGAAGGGACCCTTGAACCAACAATTCGGCGTCGATCAGGTGCGACTTCCGAAGCAGCTTCATTTTCGTGGTCGGCAGTCATCTGGACGGGTGACATAATGATTGGTGCCACCAGTTGATCTCCAGTGTAAGCTATGACATACGCGTTGTTGGAGACCGGAAGCGTCGTCATGAGTAGATCAATCTTAAGGCGAGGATCTGAGAGCATCGAGAACAAACGCACTACATTTCGCAGCCAGCTATCAAGAGATTCGTCTCTCCTACGAAAGGTCGCGCGGCCTTGCCGGCAGCTGCAGCAATTGGCACAACTGAAAAGCAACTTTTGCCTGGAGGCCAACGCTGCGTACTGCTCGGTATTCAGGTCCGTGCAAAGCTGGTGGTACCATCGGTTGCATACATCGCACTGCATACCGCCGGAATCGTCAGTTACTGGCACATTGTAGCTTGAACTGCTACAAAGTGCCATAGCCTCGGAATCCAAGTCACCTGGAACAGTAGCCTCAGTACATTGTGAGACAGACATAGTGGAAAACAGTGTGGGATTATAACTTATACAATAGTTAAACGACCTCAATAAAAGGCAAATACTTGGTGCACAACGAGATTAAAACTGGGAACAACCGGAAACTTACCAGTAAGCGCCGAAGACGCTTCTACCAGATGCGTTTTAATCGATCCAAGATATCTTGGATTAGAGGAAATTGGACCATAGTCAAATTCCGTTTAACGTGTTTATTCAAACACTGTTTTCTAAAATATGGTAGCTGAAAAGCACGATCAGTAAGGCACGCCAAAAAATCGCGTTACCGCGTGGTACTCACAGATTGGTAGCCGAAACCTCGCTGAATACTGAGATCAGTGATGTTGAGCTAACTCTGCTAGGCATGCTTCTTTTAGGAAACGGTCGACTCAGCAGCGGTGGCACGCTAGGCTTGTATTACCGACCTAACCTTATCTAAATTACCGACTATGCAGAAACCCAAGTTGCCAATTCCCTTTGGTGCAGCCTACACCAGCGAGGTGGCTACGTATGTTTACGATTACTATTTTAACATCCTACAATATCTACCATGGAAATGAATCACCGCTCAGTTTCTGCTATGAAGCGAGTCTTGACATAATCACACTATTCCGCCCTTCTGGTGGAAGTCCGTGTTGCTCCCAGCGAACAATCCAAAGCAGACGCAAGATTTAATCGCCGATTTACCTCAATACAACCATGTCACTTACCCAACGCGATTCAGAACGCGTGATGAAGCATCTGTTTTAGACCTTGTGCTCACCAACGCGGGACAAATCGTCAAGACCGTAAGCGTAGTTGCACCTCCTGACCGTAGCGATCCTGCGAAGCTGCCCTTCCGTTACCTCTGCTAGGCATAACGAATAGTTGGACTCAACGAGGAAGCCCATCTCGTCATCAATTATGATATTCTATTAAACCTCGTTCAAGCAACCAACTGCTCTTTCCTTGCCGAAAGTCCTCCCGATGTCGCCTAGAGAGTTTGTAACTCAGTTCACCGGACTACTGGCAAATGCGTTGGAAACCACATTCTTTGGCCCGAAGTAAGGGAATTCCTTTCTGAGAAGCCGAATTCAAAAAGGCGTGGTTTTAAGTACGCAGCCTGACGCGCCTATAAAAGCGTATCCGAGCATGTACTCTCTGGATATCTACCTAACTCAACGAAAACATTGCGTCGAATTGCGTGGCAAAGAGAAACAACAGCACCATCAACATTTAGCGATGAGATCCAGTACTAATCCCAAACTTCTGTACAAGCACGTCAACAAACTCCGCAGAGTACAGCTCGGAATCCCAATTCTACGTGCAGCAGATAGTCCGGCTTTAACTACGCAGGAGGCGTCAAAAGCACTTCGGCAACAGTTCACCCGCTCTTTACAGAGCGGGTTGTCATATCATCAGCTTTTGACACAGCTCACTCCGTCCCAAGAATTAAGCCATGTATCCTTCACGGCAGTGAATGTGATGGAAATACTATTGTCGTTGCGCGTGCACAGCTGTCCCGGAGTGGACGGCATTAGACCGAAGGCATAAAGGACAGCCATCATGAACATCGCCGAACCGTTAACCCGGTTCTTTTAACGACGCATTAATGATATGCATGTTTCCATAAGGTGGAAACGGAATAATCACTACTATCTACAAGAAGGGTAATCATGCGGAGCCCTTGAACTACCGTCCAATCACACTCCTCCAGGTGCTATCCAGAGATATGGAACGTGTGGACGCAGAGGCGTCCATGGGATAACTGGAGAATAACCGTCTCATCATAGTGTCACAGATGCACGGATTCCGGTGAAATCGGTCCTGTAGCATAACTTTGATGCTATCCAGAGCAAACTGGATGGAATCAGTTAATACTAAAGTAGAATGCGACGTCTTGGAATTCTCAAAAGCATGCGATCGTCTGGACCACCGCATTGCTCTTCACATGCTTTGAGGCTATGGAATCAGTGACCCTGTGCTAGGTCGTAGAAGCTCCAGTTAAACGTGGCAAAATGCAAAATTTGGGCATGCACCATCAGTGTACCTATGAATATCGACTTGGGGGAACAGTAGTTGCAGCGTGCTTCCCAGGGAAGTGATCTCGGAGTGATTGTGCAGGAAGACCTTGGATGTTTGAGACAGGCTGAAAAACTGGCAAGTAGAGCCAGTTCCCACCTTGGTTTCTTACGGAGGGCTCGGTGGATGTCCGAGCTGTCTACTTTTTGTAAACGTTAAACGTTTATGAGAGGCCGAATGTGGAATACGCCATAAAAACCTGGCTATCATGGCGCAACCACGAGGTTGATGCGCTTGAAGATCCACAACGCATAGCGGCAAAAACCATAGTAGTTTGTTTTATCTGAATTACCAACCCATACTGTGCGCCTCTAATTTGTGCATCGGTGACTGTCAGCGTCGGCGAGGAGATCTCATCATGGTGTACCTAATACTGTCGAGCCCCAATTAACCCACTTCTGCCGTCGCTGAGGTCATCATCCTCCTCCTTCTGGATATACAAAACCAAACTAGTGCGCCCATTTCCACCTGACCATCTGGAGCCCAACCTAAAATATATGCACAGTAATCTATCATCTCTGAACAAATGGAGTGCGAGCAGGTATACGAGATTTTAAGCAGACAAATCTGATACTCTGTAACAGATGCTGTATGTCAGAAGGATTCACTGATACTACCATCTCAGCAGCGTACTCCGCCCGAGACATTGGAATTCCATAATCTAGCTGTTTGAATTTTTGCAAAAATGTACTACATCATGTAGCAAAAGCGAAGCAACTAACAAGCTACATCCCTAGGTTATTTGCACTATCCCAAACACGGCTTGAATTATTCGAACTTATTGCTCGACCTACCCTATACTACTGCACCAGCATACGTGGCCACATATGCAAAACAGATAGGATCGCTTTGGAGGATGTCCAGAGTTCAGGTACTAAAATTATCATGGGCCGCCCATCAAGGCTTACCTATGCGAAATAATGTTCTCACCTCCAATCTGACGCACTCTGGCTTCGACGACTGGAGCGTAACCCACTCTTTGTCATAGTAAAACATTTTTGCAAGTCTTCCCAACCAACACGGCTTTTGTTTTACAGAAGGATTCAATCTATCCCACTAGTAATTGGAGTTGTTTACTATTCTTACATAAGATCAAAACAGTTGCGGAAAATTCTCCCTGGTGTGGGGTACGCCCACCTGTGGAATAAGCTCCAGTTAGAAGAAAGCTCTGTTAACTCCTTTACTTTCCATGCCATATATGGTCAAACTTTTCGGCCTTCAGCAATCTAAGAGTGTACTCATGGGATCCGGCGCGGAAAACATGTCTAAACTAACTTTCCAATAATCTCTTATGTACTTCATAATCCACAAGCCATTGTGTTAATGACCAATGGTAAACACAAGCTCATGAACGAAATGCTGATGAAACTCACTGTACGAAAATCGTTCCACGAAAGAGAACGCATCTCGCTCGTCGGAAAACATACACATTTAGTTATTTATATTGACGTATCCTCACCTCAGCACTTAATAGGTTACGAATGAAAACGACCTCTTGGTCACCCTTATGCGTGATAATTCCTCTTTGAAGGTACATAGACACAAAACGCGATAGAAGCCGACGAAAAAAGAAAGCAGTTAACTTCCTTCTACTGTGAGACAACGGATCTGAAGCGGTTAATTGCTGTTCTCCATGCTTAACTAAGCCCCATCGTATACACAAGTACACTAATGCCTTGGGCCACCTGTCTTTGTCAAGGTTCCCTTCCACCCATGTCAACTAAGCTGGGGGTCGGATGGGACCTGTGTCTCCAATACAGATTGCTACGTTGACTCAAGAACGTACCCACTTCGAACTCATTTTCACTAGTCTGGGGGACGGCTCTTCAGTTCACACTACGTAGATGTTTAAGCTGACATTATTCGTAGACAGACAATGCCCCAACGGTGTTTCGAAAATTATCAAGGAGCCCTCAAACCCTGTCACGTGGCACAAGTGGAGTCGGGTACCCAGTGATCCGATATCCGTATCCGGTACTACGTACCTGTTTCCAGTCCCACCTGTTATCATTAGGTGAATACTTCCAAAGTAGCAAAAAGCTGTCGTTTTTTAAATCGCAAATGATACTAACCTCAAAAAATCCCTGGTTTCGTTTTCACCAGAACAAAGAGCTCCTCATCTTGTATTCGTAATAGGCAGGAATAAAAATCACACTGTTTACATAGAAAGCGTACTACCGGTACTACTGGCACACTGTCACATGAATGAGCTGGAACACCTTGAGGAATTGATTGTGCCAAACGGCTAAGATGGAGAGGATTCGTTCAATTCCATTTTGCCCCACACAATTCCTCTCCACTGAGGGACAAATGCCTCATCATTGCAGCATTCTTGGTATACAACACCGGGAGGAAAGTCGGATGATTCACATTTGAAAAAGTACCGGTAGGCCCTGTAGAGTAATAGAAAAATTTTTTGTTATTTTCCACAGTGGTGGGGCACAGACCTGCATTCGAATAGTGCGATTTAATGAGCTGCAAACTGGAGTGTCAGTTTGTGTTCCCCTCAAGGCAATGGTTTATAATTGTTTGTCACACAGAACCTAATTCTAAGCAGTGGAAAACCACGAAACAGTAGAGTGACGCTGTAAGATTGGCTGTCAGCAATTGTCCAGTTGTTAATGTTTCTGTTACATATATGAGTAATACAACAACTCGCTAACAAGCGGTAAGATTACTTGCGGCACTAATATGTCATTAGTTTAATGTCTGACTGCAAAGTTAACTAAAGGAAAGGAATTGTTTGTGATATTATGAAGAGATCAAGTATCTAAGGCTTTGAATCCCTGTTAAGAATGAAGGAATAGCACGCTTAGAGAAAGTCCATAAGACACAGGGCGAGAAAGCTAATCCCTAGTTGCTCACAATATTGGTAGTACATGTATTTTGGGAAAACGAATTCCTAGTAAAATGTTAACCTAATCTGTTGTTTATTTCAGAAGCCTATTTGCCTCCATGTACCGTTGGCGCAGGCCATTTAATCATGACAGGGGCATCGAAATGCGGTGAGGGCGGTTGTCTTGACTCCTGATGCCAAACATAACAGCAGTGGTCAGCACGAAAATCTGGGGAAAAATATGAGAGCAAAAAGGGTTAGCTACCAGATGCGAGAAGATGGAGGTAAACGTACCACATATCTCTTAGATTTACTATTTTGAACACGGTCTCTAGATACTGTTGTGGCCTATCCGACTGCTTCATTTAGGACGCCCAGTGAACTACTCAGACCGAATCTTGTGATCAAACCCTTTATGTTTTTCACTTAATTCTCCGAAGGGCTCTCTATGGCCCAGCCTAGCCAGATGAATATTACGCATGTAGTATATGAAAGGATGACCAAGACGACATAGGCAGTTCCATTTCACCAAATGATACAGTACATTGTCAGAGCATTTATTACCACACATCGGCCGGCTGCCCACAATATCGTTCACACTGTTTACACTATAGATGAACATCACGTTGCAGACGCTGACGAGTGATACGAACCATTCATTTAACGTCTACAACGCGCTATGTTTGCCTACGATCCATAGAGAAGCATCGGTGTTACCGCGGTGCTAAGCACCCTGCTCTTGACTCAGCAGTTAGTATTCTTAGGCATCTGTTAATGATTAGGGTTCTGAAGGACCTTATTAGACCTTACTGCTGCACTTCGCAGTCACTTCAATGACCTGGTTTCCAGAGCAGAAAAATCTTCCATGACTAGTAAAACAAACCGCTCCTTCCATTGGTTACTGTCTTGTGGTGGACGCATCAGCAATATCTTACTACGAAACCTGCACCGCGGAGTGCGATGCTCCATGCTTGTTTGCTGGGTAGCGTTTGCGAACTTTGCACATCGAAAGTCCACTAAGTTAAAGGAAACATTTAATTTAAAAGACAACGCAGATACCTTATTGCTTCAATTGGTACGTTATCGAACACTTGTGGCCAATTACTGCAACAAGAAGCAACGAAAACTGATAATGCATTCGATTGTCGAGTTTGGAGTACAAGTTCATTGAATGATGAGCCCTAACTGCCCATTTTGGTAGAGAGATTGGTCCACGACACAGAGGCACAAATAGCCGCTGGATTGGGAGAATCCACTCAGAGCTATTAATTCAGCGCCCTTAACATAACTGAAATGTCAACTTCATTCATGCTCAGAAGAGGCTTCGAATTTTCCTCCCAACGTGCAACTATAAGGATTCATTTGGTCATATAGCTGGGTGCCGTGATGAGGCATCTCGGAATGTGGCCCATTCAGTTTGTTGTACATCTGGTTCATTCCTGAACAGAGAGGAAACTTGAGATGTTGCAAACTTATGGTCCGCCATTAAAAGAACGCTGTAATCGCCTGGTTGTTTTGGCGCCCATATGGACTACCCAAACACATCCGATCAGCTCAGGATAGATACAGCCTAAATTTCTATTTAGCGAATTACCCTACAATGAGGGTACGAAGAGACCCCGAGCCACGGATTAAATCTTTTGGTCAAGCATGAGATCTTTGATGGTTACCAAAATATTTTTAGCCATTTTCAACCTCCGTCCAATAGCCAGTCAAATCAACATAAGATCAACTAGGAAACAACATTGGTAAACTGGATAGAGAAGTGGAGAGTTTAGCTGAATTACTTCAACACACATGCAGTATGGAGAGCAAACTTACTGCAATTGGGGTAGCTCTTTATTCAACAGTTTAGCTGCTCTGCGCTGGAGTGTTATTATTAGCCCCTTATAATGGCGTAGCGAAATGACGTTGCTTTGCCAGTAGGTCACATACGGCCTCCGGACACCGGGCAGTTGACAAACGACACACAAACCTTGGGGAGCCCGACTGTCGCTACCGGAGCGCTTCCTCTTCATTCTCGCTTTCGATCTGGTTGAGACAGCTTTTTCATGCACAAATTTCAGTATTGAGCCATAGGAACTGCAACGGAATACAAGAATGAGCATGAACTCACAGTCTGTGTGT